GTCACAAGCTGCGTGAGGGAGACTGTTAGGGCAGAGTGGACAACGAAAGCGGTAGTCTCCAGGCCCAAACCAGGGACACTGACCGTGAGAGTGGTGTTAACCAGTCTGTACAGAAACCTTCCAAAGAATTCACGGTATTTTTGTGGACAGAGATGCTCGAAACTCACCGCTAAAGTGTGAGACTTGGCGATTCTCAATAAATCAGTGACACGAATTCTTTGATGGAAGGTTTGTTGCCCTTCGATTGGGGTGTCCGTGGATTTGTAACGATGCACCATACGTTCCACTGAAACTTTGGGAAAAGGTTTCAATCAAATGATGTGGGGCAGCGTTCAGACTTCGCGATGACGCGCATCGAGGCGCTACTACTGCAAGGGTGCTCCAGTGCTATAGACGCGAACGCACTCGCTCACGGGAATCATCCAGCGCGGGCCGTTTGTGGTTGTATAGGATAACGAGGGCTAATGCCGTTTGGACTCCAGAAATTTCGGCTCCGAGCTCATTTTCAAATTGCCTAAGTCACCAAATCCACTAAAAACTTGTATATAGGGGTAATTCAACATCCTGATTACGAGTATGACACTCATTCTTGGCGCTGGCGCCAAGAGAGGACACTACGATTACCTCCTGGGCTCAGCCTTAGCAGAGCGCAGGTAACCGTAGTGTCATCCATTAGCGCCAGCGCCAAAAATGAATTTGGTGATCTTGCCACTTTTAAAATGAGCTCGGAGCCGAAATTTCTGGAGTCCAAACGGCATTAGCCGATAACGAGGGGATAGGCGCTGCCTTGTACCCTCAGGCGCTGCCTTGTACCCTCCTTGTTCTTCTATACTCTCTCAGAACGCAAACGACCGGCGCCGATTGGTTCCTATCTGTAGCCGTGTTCGCGTCTACAGCATAGGAGCGCTCTTGCGACTGTAGCGCGTCGACGCGCGTCATCGCCAAGTCCGAAAGCTGCTTAAAGGAGGCTGTGGGAGGTCCTTTAATTTCAGAAAATCAACTGAATCAATCATGGCTAACCCGATCGTAAGCCTATTGTGCAATCGGACGGAATTCGTTCCAAAGCTCGCTTCCAAATGGCTGAACCAATTCCAAATCCTCGATATTCTGGTAGTATTATATAGAAGGCAATATAGGCTAATCCTTCGTTTTCGCACCAGACCACAGAACCAATGAAGCTGCCATCTTAAAACATTCAACGCGTTAGGTACTCTCCAGTGGTTGATGAAATTTTTTGATCCACTTTGTTAGCGAGGACTTTTTTCTGGGCTTTTTTTTTCTACTGAAAGGAGGATAGAAAGGGAGACAGCGTTACGTTTGCTGAGCGAATTATCATATTGAGTTCCAAAAAATAGTGCCTTTTCACAAACAGTGCTACATGGGCATGCCTCCAGTAATGTCACATAATCTGATGCTCTTTGCCTGCTCTTCAACAGAAAACCTTTAGCTTAAAGAGCAGCTGTGAATTCTGAAAGAAGTCATGGAGAAGTTTCTAGCCTGCCAATCCTCCAACTCCGGGAAGGAGGCAAAATTCACTTCACGCAGAGAACGTGCTTCTACAAATTGCTTCGCACGGAGTGGCGGGATAGGAGGTTCTGTACGTTGACGTAGGACACTGGTCTCAACCCTTGTCCTCGGAATTCAAGTCCACGAGAGAAAAAAAACGTTTCGAACCGACGTGTCTGGGATCCCAGGGTGCTTGACAATCACTTCGACCTAAAGCCGTATCTGAAACAGCCAAGTGCTGGTGTCTTCCAGCTCTTGAGGGCCTTTATCCAGAAGCAGAATTGCGAGAACTGCATCGGGAGTTGTACTTGGTGGATGCGGAGCGGTTTTGTTGGAACTTGGATAAATTTTCCCATTGTTGCTTGTGCCTTCCCCCTTTTGTTGACGGCGCCCCGTAATGTTACTGTACACCCACCGCACCAGCGCTTATGCTGATGGATTCATTTCTCGGAGCATTCATGTGTTCTTTGTGAATACAGAGCCCTCGCGCAGCTTCAGTTTTTAGCGTACAATTCTTTTCGAATTTTTTTCCAAATTTCGGAATTTGATCTCTTGAAGTTTTTTCTCTATCATTTGGGCCAGTCATGTAGGTTTTCCCTCGAGATGAAAATTACCTGTTTTGTTCTGAGCCACCACTGATTTAGCAAGTTTCGGTAGAATGATGAGGACGCTGTCATCCGGACCATTTACCCATCCCTCAGCTCGTACTGCATCCTTGAACTCCTGCCATAATTTGTCGTCCGGTGGGATGTCATCAATGATCTCATACTCAGTCTGTTTCATTCTGAAAAATCACATTTGCGATCATATGCACTCCTTATTCCTGACATGGAGGAGGCGTGGCATTTGAATATGGCACAGGATGGGTTACCGTGGGGATTTTCAGTTTGAGACAACTGTCATCTTGTTGCGTGCTGGACAAAGATATCATTAAAACTGCTCCAAAATGGAAATATCTCACGAAAAGCTCAACCGCCGTCACGTTCAGTTCAAGTTCGCAGCCACGCCTCCCGCATTTTGTGTGTATAAGTGGCAGTGTTCGGTTTGGAAAGGGCATTTCGCACTTTCATTAGATTCTTTTACTAGTTCCTGCCGAGTTACATGTCTCATCAAGGTAAGCTATTAAAGGCAAGTGGCACGATAAATCCCTAAGCGTGTAGGATTAATGAGCGTGTAGGACTAGCAGGTCAGAATTCGGCGCCAGGAGCAGGCACGCGTGGCGCCTTTCCCGAGGAGGGTACTCTTATAAGGCCCTGTCAAGCGCTGCAACGTACCAACCCACACTGACTCACACGTCCACCGCGCCCGCCCGACCACAAAGGTTTGACCGCAGCTGACGCTCGTATCTACCGCAGCGGGTATTGTCGCAATGGCAGCGCAATTCTCTTCTAAAAATGCTCTGTGAGTCGTCTAGAACAAAGCTTTTCCACTTTTTGTCCGCTGTATAGCACCCCTGCTGCCATTTCAGATCGAGTGCCAATTAATCGTGCCTAGTATCTTCTAGTGTAAACGAAGCTGATGGTGTTGTATGGCTTCACCATCAGCTTCACGGGCATTCGCTGGTCTCTACAGAAGAATTCTGCTGTGATTTAAGGTGACCAACAAAATGCCCACCAAGCCGAACTGAGCTCGGTTGAGTATTCATCAAAAAGGTCTAACAAAACTTATTATTTACGAGTTCGACTGATTTTTACAAAGTTGTATTGAGTCTTGAATACTTTTATTTCGGTACATCGGAATTGAGATGGAAAGTAATTGAAGAGGAGAAGTGAAAAGAGAAAAAACCAGGCGGCTGGTTTGGTAGACAGGGCGCAAAAAAGCATCCGACATATTGATCAGAAATCAGGGCTACCGTGGGAAGTAGTAAATGATAAGACGTCGCGGTTTCAGTGAAACGAAGATCATCAGTTCAGTGATCTAAGCAGGATGGGGTTTTGGGTTTTCCCTAATTGAACAAACGGAGGGCTCTGTGATTACAACTGAGACTTTGACACTGACGGAATCAAGCGTCATAATGACCTGAATTGTTGTGTGCTATGAACAATCGTTGAGTATCGATAGGATTATGATATTCTTTGCTGAAAAGAGTAGTACCAGAATGCTTTGAAGAAATGTTAACTGAAGCGAATATGGAAGGAAGAACCTTGGAACCAACGCTACCGCTTAGCACGTGAAATAAGAAGCGAGCGTCAGCATGAATACCCCGAACCTGTCGGATCAACGGTTGAATAACAGCAAATGCTTCATCAGCAGAGGAGGCGTAAAGTGGTGCGAGTTTGAAGAGATGCTTATGGGAATGAGATGTGGGACAGATGGCTGCGTAAGCGACTATGTTACGATCATCATCAAACAGTACGCTAGCATGCGTAAAGGGCAGATCGTGGAATTGTCGAAGGAAATATCGTCGATCGCGTTTCACCACGGATAAGCAGAAGTGTTCCAGTTGTTCGTACTCGGCTTCGTTCAGTTCGCTAACCAGTTTCACTTCATGACTCTGAAACAAGAAATGGTTTTTTGTAAGGACTTACAAAGGATCAACACTGAACTGCGATGGGTCGCTTCTGCCACATTAGCAAAACGCGTCTCGAGGTCTCCCATTTCGCTAACAGTGCAGTCCAGGCCTGCGTTTGGTGTAGCTTGTGTCCTGTGGATTTGTGTATCGTGAACCAGCTTGGAACTTGAACGCATTTGCAATCCATTTGCCAAAGAATGCATCGGATATGTGAAAAAAAACAATCGTAAATGCCGCGCTCGTCGTGACGTGGGCTGCACGACGCTGCCCTGACGACGGGTTCGTCCAGCCTGTGTCCGTTCGCAAAGTCAAGTAGGAACCTTCTATATCGTCCGCATATGAATAATGTCTTCCTCAACTTCGTGTGTGTTTCACTGCCTCAATCGTCAGACAAAATGGATGCGCGATCGACAAATATCGCCATCGCCGATTGTACGACGTGACAGGCTACTGCTTTGCCCGTCTATGTTGGAATATGCTTCAATATTTCATTAGAAAAGTTTGAATACTGCTACTCAGCGCAAGGTTAGACTGTTGGCATCCTACTTGATGTAGCGCGTTCCCATGACTGACGAAAACCGATGCCTCTCCCACGATATTCCGGCTTCAGCAGGTAGAATCCGATGAATGCAATGTCATCGTATTCGTTCCAAATGACGGTTCCGATGAAACTGTTATCTGAATTGACTCCGATATCATCAAAGGTAACATGTAAGTAGTGATTGAAAGTGTTTGAAAGGCAGTTGGCCACCATGGTCTCACTCGAGCCTAAAAATACTATAGGCGCTATGTAGTGGAAAGGCGAAAGAACGAGCGGAAACGTCAAATCCGGCGAAGAAAACCCTCCGTTTCATGTGACTTGTAAATTCGATTCTGACGAGTTTCCATAAGGCAGTCTTATCACACGCTACCGAAGATACGGCTTGATTATCCATTATGCATGCACACGGGCCCGCTTCTACAATCCCTTGCTTTTATAATTTGCCTACAAATTGAATGAATACTGAGAGGTCAGGAAACGGTTCGTCCGTTTGGTGGGCGGCGGAAGAAAGCGTTGGGACGGAAGTTGTGCTCGATAGGCGCGTTATGGGGCACTCTCCTCGGAAAAGGCGCGGAGCGCCTGTCAGGAGGCACGAATTCCTTAGCCAGCGAACAGCCTAATCTGTAACGTAGCAGTAAAAAACGAAAGTTCGGGTGTGGCACGGCCAGTGGCGGGGCCTTTATAGCGAGCGAGACTGGGACCTTGCTCACGAATTGCCGGCCTCTCATCCTAAACAATGTCAGCCTCCACCAGTGCACATATTACGGCACTTTGCCTCTAAAAATGACGTCTAGTCGCCCAAAACTGCCAAGTTCCGCAGCCATTAAAGAAACTGCAAGTTCCCAGCAGGCCATTGAATTTCTTACAGCATTAGACACATGTTGATTGTATACAGGCAACAAGCAAAACGGATGATCTGTAATTTGGGATGTTTTCCTTTAAAAATTATTTTTTTGCTTCTAATTACTTACCGCTCCTTTTTCGTGCCAGAATATTCGTGTTGAAGGAATCTGTTGTAGGGTTAATACGCTGAGATCGTCAGAAGTCCATCCTTCATCTTCAACCAAACTCTTCCACTCGAGCCATGCCTGATCATCAGGTGCAATTGAATCCACGACTTCGTAGTCGTTGATCCTTTCATGGGTGTTTGTAGAAGTGCTGCGAAGAAACATGAGATTCCGGTTGTAAGATGTGCACCGATAGTAGATATAGAAGTAGTTCATCGATAAAGCTGCCAGTCGCGTTCGTCGCGTGTCTGCTGTATGAATCGTCGCTGCCAATTTCGACGAACGGGTCACAGTCACTTCGTATCTAATCTAACTCTATACGCGTATAATCACAGCCATCACTATGTCTCAATTGTTTTCTCTTGAATTTTATTTTTTTCACTCAAGCTATCAGTTTGCCGTACTTTGAGCTGTTCGAAGATTCCTGTTCCGCACAGACAAACATAGTTGATGCCCTAGTTATTCGACAGGGAGCTTACTGAATCAGCTTTCACGGAGCTTTCTGCCAAATAATGGGAAATTGCAGAGACTAGGGAACTCCCACTTTTTTTGTGAGTAATCATCTTCGATGAGAGAGGTTCAAACCTTTTGGGATGGGTCCTGCAGACTGTCACTCCGCAAGAGGGCAATCCCTACGAAATACTTTCACGAGGTCCAATTCCCATCTCTTAACAGTTTTAACAAAACCCAACCCGTCTCAATGCGCACGGTCCCTCGGTCATACTTATCTTGCGCTTTAAGCTGCTTCTGCAGATTGAGAACCTAGATTAGGTGCAAGAAGGTGGTGTCAACAAGTTTCTCCTCAAACGACACCAAACTTTAATGAACTAAAATCAACGGGAACTAAGAAAAATCGAAAACGAATGGAGCCTAGGGCAGAAAGTTATGTATCAAACAAGATAGAACACACTGGTGGAAAATGGGTATATGACAAGAGAATCGTAATACGCTGCACTGGTGAGCAGTGGCTCCGCGACGGCGCTCCCACGGAACGTGTTGTCTTTCCTGCACATCACATCATTTCATTACCATCATCATCACTTCGCACATCTATAAGTTACGGCGCACCGTCGCGCAAGGTATCGCAAGCGACGCAGTAGATTCTTTTATCTGTATTCCGGGAAAAATACTCAGTTTCCCCTCAAGATTTGATGTTGAGGAAAAAAAACGCCACTATTTATGGGCCAACCCAGTAGACAAATACGATACGAATACAGACACAACACGTGTTTAGTTGAAGGGAGTTAGAAGATCTTCGAGCATTTCAGCCGAGTTTTCGTCTTATTGTTAGTATTTAGATTCTAAGCTGGAAAGAAAACACGATTTGATGTTGATTCCACATAATTCATAAATCAGTGATACAGCTTCTGTACTGTGAGAGAGAAGGCGTGAAATTTCAACGGGATTGATAGTGATATCATGTACTTATCACAGCAGACATTTTATAGTCTCTTGTCTGCCAACTGGATGCTAATTGGCCGTGATGATCATGTGATTTGGTCTGCTTTCGTGTTGTTGGCTAAAGTTTAGTGAGAGCCAGAGCACGTTCTGTCGTTGGGGAAAGGTTCTGCGAACTACGAATCCCCCGTACTTCCTGCACCGGTACGACATCCCCTCCCCATTCTGCAAGCCCCCCCCCCTCTTCCGATCTACCATTTCCCTGAATTCCCCAACGTCCCACCTTTTTTTCCGATTTTCTTCGTAAACTTCGGAAAAAGTGGAGGGAAGAGGGGAGAGGGACCTTGAGGCGAGAAAAACCGAGAAAAGTCAGTCGACTACTAAGAGGAACCTCCGTCCCTCCAGTGACTACAGCGATCCCCTGGGATTCCCAGCATACGACGTTCCTGGTTAGAATGGTGGTATCATGCGGTCATCGTACTTTCACCCGTTTCCGTTAGTTAGTAGGGAAGTGAAAAGACAGTGGTCAAATACGAATTCTGCTCATTAGACAAGTCTCCGAATTGTTTGCGCTATTGATTACATTGCACGCATTGCAGCTAGGCCAGAGAATCTATAACGCTTATCGGGTTGTCTCTTTTGATGGCTGAAAAGGACGAGGCTCCTTTATTGGTGAAAGTGCGATTATAATAATAAACTCGATGGTCGAAGTTGGAATAGTGTTGTGGAAAGGAGTTCGGTGAACAAAGATGACTGGTATGGAAATCGAGAGAAGTGTATGCCACCAGACAAACGATGAGAGGGCAAAGCTCAGTCCGCTCGTTGTCATGTGGAAGTGTAATGTGATATTCAGAACGGCAAGGTGACCTTTGTCTTAAAGGTGCCCCTCGAACTCACACGTCACTCTTTCAGTTCTAGGGCGCTATCTGTTACGCCACCTTTTCACTTCTTACTCTCTAAGCTTGATCTATTTTTTGTTCTAACCTTTCAAGACCAGAGCAGTGGCCAGCAGCTGACAGACGGCCTTGATGAAGTAAACGATAGGGCTTTCGTCCGTACGCGTGAGGTACGGGTTCTCTCGCCTGAAGTCAAGAAATTGCCCACATCAGCGTTATTGTGGAACAGAAATCAATGAGAAAAATAAATTAGATGGGCGACGTTTCGGAGGAATATTTAGAATCCTCGGCACGAGATTAGGAACTTAAAAACAGGGTATGCGACTGCTCGAGATGAAGAAGCCTTCACCCAAAATAGGTGGCGCTGTTAGCAGTCGCTGAGGATATATCACCTTCGCGCCTCGGAAGCGTTTTATTGGAATTCACCTTTGTCCTTTGGCTTTGCCTTCGCTGGATAAGAGCGGTTGTCTCCCAACCATTCCTGTACTCTCTCTCACCGTGCCATCGTCTGTTTTACCTTTCTATGCGCTGTCTTTTCGTCATACAGTGGTGTTCAAATCAACAGAAGTCTTATTTAGTGCGAATTCCGTTTTTTTTCTGCACTGTTGAGTTACTCAGTATCTTGAAATTCGTTTCTGAAAACCTTTCCTAAACCAACACTTTCAAGTCAAGTAAATCGGACCTGAAATTTCATGTGCCTTCACCCGTTTTTTCTGAACTTTGTTTTTTTTACTCATTTTATCATTCACTTTCAGTATGAACTCGAAGAAGTATCGCTGTCAGCACTACTCTGTATTCTGAAACAATCGTATGTGGACACCCGTTCGGTGATTCGAAGGGAACCTCATGTGGCTTTGCTGATACAGATTCTTAACGACACGGCGGTCTACAGAGCGGTAAGAAGAATTCTTGATACTTCCCAACAAAATTGATTCTTTTATTCAGCTAACAAAAAATGTTATTATTGCGCTCCTTGACCGCTATCTCGATAAGATCTACTTCATTGGAGTTGAGATGTGAAATGAAGGGTACAGTCGTCATCCGGGCAGTTGATTAGGCGGTTGTCAAAGGCTCGCAGACGCGGCTGCAGCAGCGACCGCGTACGTAGGAACTGTTGGCGGCGATCAGCTGTTTCCGGCCTGGTTTAGCCATTTTCTCCCTACTTTTCACTGTTTTGGCTGCTTTTCTCGAGGTTAGTTGTTCCTTGTCTTCACAAGGTAAATTATGATTGAGATTTCTCTAATTTTTGCGAACAATTAAACAAACAAACAATAAACAAATACCTAGAAAAATTCGCAAAACCACTTTATTACGGAAGCGAAAAAAGGGTCCACGTCCTAATATACTTCATAAAAACAATAACACAAGTTATCTTGAAAAAAAATAGAAAATACAGTGAAAATTAGGGAGAAAATGGCTAAACCAGGCTGGAAACAGCTGATCGCCGCGGTCGTGACGCGCCGCAGCCGCGTCTGCGACCCTTTGACCGCCTAATCAACTGCCCGGATGACGACTGTATGTGAGAAAGGAGTTGATCGTTGGATAAGAAATGACTGAGAGTGGGGCTAATGGAAAGGAGCCACTCAGCATGAGACTTTTGTGTCGGCAGATGCGAATGTCTGTTTGAGCGTCCGCGCAGTCAGTCTAGAGACTTGAAAAGAAGCGAACGAGATTGGGTAAGGAGCCCGGAACTTTGCCAAACTATTTCGATCTATTCCTAGGAGCAAGTTGACCGTCGCACTGTCGATTACTGAACATAACTTATTCATCAAGTATAAGATCGAGTTATAATGTTTCGCTTTCCTTTTCTTATCTATCTGGAGAAGTTTCAGATCTGTACTGTGCTCCTAGAAGATGTAAATGTCCAAGAGCTTGTATCACCATCTTCTCGCAGAACGTCAGCACCCGCTCTGCCAGCCATCCAGCTGATTTCAAGTGAGTGGCCCTGGAATCTGGGTTGTTGTGAACTTCAATGCCCTCTAGAAACTGGGAAGATACTGTTTTCCAATCTTTCATTGATTTTGTTTTAGTTGCTGCATCGCGCTATGCAGTGCTTCGAGCGTCGATTCGAGGTACTGATTCGGATATTATGCTGGCCCCATTGCAAACACTGCTACTGACACCACTTCAACCATCTGGTGTTAACATACTGGACATTGTGTTGCTATACATTGAGCAGGTGAGCTGTCAAGGTTCGAATGTTTTGCAGGCTTGGGGAGGGGAGAGGAGGAAACGTATCTGACCTTGCTTATCACTGTGTTGTCTCTTCATTGTCCTAGTCTGTCACTGCACTTTCTTGACCGATCCAGTTCCACTCAGGGGCTAGAATGAAGTCTTCTCTCGACGAAAACTTGATGAGAGTGGAGTTGTTTCAGGCAGATGAGCTGCCATGTCACGCTCTCTACGCTGGACGAATTCTCCGTGAAATATGTGCCATTCGACCGTCACTTCAGTCTCAAATGGTTGAGCTACTGAGAGCGCGGAAATCAGTAGCACGTTATGCTCGTGCGATACGTAGTGTTCTGAATCCGGGCACTATCCGGTACAGAATTTCGGATATGGTGGCTCCAGGTAAGTGCAATGTTAAAGGCAGTTGGCACGAGTTTCCTACTTAGCCTAAAATGCTAGTAGGGCGCTGTATAGTGGGGAAATGGCGAAAGAACGGAGTGAAACGGTCAAAATCCGGCGAAGAAAAAGCCTCCGTTCAGTGACTTGAAAATCGATTTCGGACGAGTTTCCCGTAGCATCTTACCAATCACCGCTACCGAAGATACGGCTGCATATGTGTACCCATGTATGCATGCAGCATCACGGCCGCTTCATACCAATCCCTTCGCTTCATAATTTGCCCTAGGCAAGAATGAGTACGGGGTACAAGGGACGTCCTCGTGGGCGGCCGCGGGCCTGGCGGGCGTTTGGGATGCTAAAGTTGTGGCTTGATAGAGCCCTCTAATAATGGGCATCCTTCGGCTCCTCGGGAACGGCTATTGCGGCCTGCCTCAGAAGGTCGCGGAATTCTATCACCTACGGAGAGTTGAATTCCTAGTCGCTTTGGGGGATTTATCGTGCCAACTGCCTTTAAAGTAGTATCGATGGAGTAGGCCCAGTAGTGTTTGCATCTCTTAGCGGACGGTGCAGCTGTGGCTCTTCCCCTTGACTTTCCTTCGCTATCCCGCTTTCCTGTATAATGGTACAGCAAAGCTTGAGTTGGGGAATAGTTCTTCTCCCCAGCTTGTCCCTAGGACCTTTTTGTTGCACCTTCTAGTGCCCTTCTTTCAGCCGGTTAGTTTTTCGCGTAGAATAGTGTATTCTGTTCGAGCGCCAGGTGTTATACCAGCGCTTCTACAACAAGTATGCCATCGCAGTAAGGAATTTCGGATGTGGTAACTTTCCCAGGGGTGTTGCGCGACCATTCGCTCAACTTTCACAGAACTCAACCCCTGCTTTTTGGCCAATGCATAAATTCTATTAGCCTTGCAAGCATTATGACCTTATAGATTCTGTTACAGGCAAGCAGTATTGACTTCTTAGATACCTATGCATTCTTTAAGAGTTTGCATGACAGCGATCTGCGTGCGCATATTGCGGAGGTGAAGCAGCCTTGGTGGTTACTGGAGGCACTGTCCAGCGTAACTTATTTGGTATTCGTCATCTAGACTGCCCACTGATAATAGCATTACAGGCCGTTATTTCCATTTGCGGGATTGGGGCATGTCCTAATTAAAATCTTGTCGATATAACAGAAGGTTATAAGAATGATACGATTGGTAAAAAATATCTTACCACCTTCGTTTTGAGTGGCCCTGTAGTTCGGGGCGGTTGAACACGGCGATAAACGGTTGTGGTTTGCCGCTGGTCAGTGACCTGTGAAACGCGTCATGTTGCTTCCAAAGTATCGCCGAAGCGTCTTGAATGCGGGCTTGAGGGGAAAGAATTTGACAAGCTGCAAATCGCTTCTATTGTGAAACTGGGCTTTTTTGAGGAGGGGGAGAAGTTGAAATGAAACAACATCTCTTAGCCACTACGCTTATTTCCTGATGCCAGGGCTCCAAAAGAAGTAAATTGACTGTAGTTGAGCGAGTTCTCCATATTCAGCAATAAGACCAATGTGCAAAACAGATAACAAAACACTTGTCTCCTAGTTTAGTAGTGTTTTTTCTTTCTCTAGCTCTTTCTCTCTCTCTTTCTCTTTCTCTTTCTCTCTTTATTCCCCTGTCTTACTTCTATATGTGTTTTTTACCTTCTGCAACTTAACGGACGACTAGTCTGATTTTTCTTGAAGATTCTGTGGAGACTGATCCAGCCGGAAATAATCTCTGCTTCTTGCTGTTTGGCTTCAAGCCATTCGCCGATAGTACCGGCCCATTATATGAGATTGGTTAGTTGTTTTTGAGTTTTCCCCTTGATTTTCCCATGAAAGGTTCTATTTGGCAAAATGTTATTCCCTAATGTGCTTAACTGTACCAGTATAACATTTCAGAATCGCAACCCACCGGATTTCATCAAGTGCTGTCCGTCCTGGAGCAGTTTATTGGTGCTAAGAGATCCTTTCCAACTTCAGTTCTCATCGCTCATTGAACCATCGTTCCGACTGTTGGTAAGTGAACATCAGTAAATACTATATTGACTCCATTTTAAATTCCCACAATTGCATTATTGGAGATCAAATATGTAACTCTTCTCGAGTGCTTGGGAATTAATTCCCGTGTGGTCCTTCACTTTTTGACATTTTTCAGCAACGACTGGTTTCAATAGACTGCGTATATTCGCAAGCTGTGCTCCGCTTTGTTCGTTCGATTAACCTAATCCAGCAGCTGGTTGCATCGCCATTTTTGTCAACCACATTATCACAGGTAAGCTTCATAGTAATGTCGTTTGGGAGATCCAGGTTGAGGCCAGGTGTGGTTGATGTCGTTGCATTTAGTCGGGGTGGTGCCAGGAGGCGTGGTATGAGCCCACCCGCTTCGCTTTCTACCGCTAGTTCTTTTCGTAGGGAATCGATCACTAACCGATCACTGTTTGTAGAAAAGGCGGCTGGGGCGTTCGACCCATTCCACCCTGTGTGAAACCGCCTCGACTGATTGCAGTAGTGTCAACAATGCACGAACTAGTCAGTGTTTCCTACCTAGTTGACTCGACCCATTGTGACATTTCCACTTGAAACCGATAAGGACTTGGTGCGAATGGTGCGCATCTGATGCCACTCACAAGGCCGCCTTAGTCGCGTCAGTGCAACGGACCTCCCAACCGGCACCTTTTTCCAAAGCTAGAGAAAGGAGCTTTTCCCCGCGGTTTTTGGATG